ACCCTAACCCTAACCCTAACCCTAACCCTAACCCTAACCCTAACCCTAACCCTAACCCTAACCCTAACCCTAACCCTAACCCTAAGCCATCTTGTCTCAATCACTTCCAAATGTCCGGTTCTTGACTGGCCACCCAACCCCTTGGCTCTTCCCCATGTTTTGCTGGTTCTACCTTGTTCACCACAATGTAACCTTTAGAGTCGAGATGGACGCCGCTCTGCTTCAAGAATCCGGTAGCTGGAGTGGCTCCTGCACCGAAAAGAAGAGTGCCACTGTCAGTGGGAGGGGCTCTTGACCCCCAGCCCCAGCCTCCCTTATTTGAACAATGGAAAGGACCAATAACCAAGTGCAAATTACCCGTGGCAACTCTATCCACATTATAAACCATATAAGAATAGACTGTCCATATAAACTTGAGACAATACAAGTTTAAGTCCCAGTGACCAATTGGTGCTCTGTTGTAAGTTTTTTTCCTCTTCCCTCCTCCTCTCTTTTTCCTTTCATGTGTCAATTTTTAACTTGTAACTGTCTTTTGGTGGTGGTTGGAATGGAGGGTGTCCTGGCTTTTTGGTGGAAAAGGGAATTAAACATGCTTTAAATAAATAAAATAAGGCTCATCGATCTGCCCCACAATGCTCCTGGGCACTGCTGCCAAAGACAAGCACTCTACGGGCTCCTCCATCACACCACCGTTTCCTTCTCGCAATTTCTCATGGCTTCAGTAGACCCCAGTTTCTATCACATCAGATAATTATCCAGCACAAGGATGTCTCTGTCATAGCTAAAGGCCTTTTTTAAAAAATTAAATACCTCACTTTTTCTCTTTTCCACAAATACAAACATTTCAGACAAAAAGCAGGGGATTCCATCGAGCCTGGAGCCTTCACCACCAGACCAAATGGGCTCTCTTTCCTGGCATTACGACGGTGGTTTGTCTTTCTTCATCTTCGGCCTCCCAGTCTAGTCTACTGCCCTAGTAGTCTCCCATCCAAGTATTGACCAGGTCTGACCCACATAGCTTTTGTGGCCCAGCCAATGTCAGCTACAGTCTCTCTTCTGACTCTTTCTCACTGAGTCCTGTGACTTATTTCATGGACAAATTTCTTGGCGATTATACCAAAGTATTTTGCCACGGCCTCCTTTCCAGTTTAGTCCATAGCCCTAGAATTTCCAAGTGGTCCCCCATCCAAGTACCCACCAAGTGGCTTTTTTTCAAACTCGGCAAGTCAGCTACGTACTGCCCCCTGGTGGACAAAGAGAGCTGCATGGTAAAAAGAGGGGCTGTCATTCCAGAAAGCTCAAAGAAGGGTCCTCAAAGCAGGAGCACTCAAGGACATCCACAGGAGGGTTATCAAAAAAGTCAAGTTGGTGGCCATGACCAACGGGTCAAAGCCTGGGACACACGTAAAAAGTGAGAGGGGCTTCGATTGTGCAACCATGGCGCCATCTTGACCTCCTCGATTCCGCTCAGAGGATGCCCCAATAGCCCCCCAGCCACTCACCTATGCCGATGACGCAGACGTCTGCCCGGAGAACCTTTCCGCTTTTCAGCACCACCTCCTTTAGCTTTGGGGAAATGCAAAATGCAACAAAATAAAGAACAATAACATTTCACTTTTGGTTTCTTTGACCCACTCCTGCTTGCCTGTGAAGCCAGAAAAGAAGGCGCTGGATGGGAAGGCTCTCCGCCCCGCCCTGGGGTTGATGGGTGTGGCTGGGCCGTTTGCAACAGAAGGATCCTGGCCCCCTCCTGAGCTCTGGGTGGTGAAAAAGGTCTGCGAGGAGGTCAGGCAGCCTCCCCAGAGCGGCTGTGCCTCCCCTCCTCTCCGGCCCGGGTTCAAGGAAGTTGCCAGGTGTCTTGTGAAGGGAGCCCTGCGGGCAGTGCCTCCACAGCTGTGGCCTTCCTCACTCTGTGCATGTGCAGAATCCTACGCTGTCCAGATGAGTCCAGTGGAGGGCTAGAGGGCTTCTGGATTTGGCTGCAAGGGCTGTGGCTGATGGGAGTGGCAGTCAAATCACATTTGGACAGGGTGAGGTTGGGGATGTGCTGGAACAGAGTAGCCCACCAGCTGGCAAAGCTGAGGAAGGGCTCTGTTCTCTCCTTGACCCTGACTTTCTTCACACCTTCTTTTCTCCCCCCCAACCCAAAAAGACCAGGAGGCTGCAGGGATGAACCAAGCACCCCTTCTAGAGAACTGGCTCCCCCACCTGGACAGCTGCAGGTTTCCCGTCTTTGCAAAAACACAAAAAAAGAGCTTTTTCACTCAGCTGCTTGTTCAAAAGCTTGCAAAGAACCGGCTCCCCCCTCGGCCTGCCCCCTCCAACCGTGAGGCTCCGTGGAGGGGCTCGCGGGCCCCAAAGCCTCAGCCAAACTCTACCTTGCCCTCCTGTTCCCGCAGCTCCGACACTTCGGTCTGCATGTAGAATTTCACTCGGTTGTTTTCAAACATCTGTCCGAGAGGAAAGGAAGGGGAGAGAAGGCTGAGCTCTGGAAGAACGCTCCCAGCTGGCCCGCAAAATAAGGCCTGGCCCTCCCCGAATCGCCCCCCACCCCACCCCGGCCACTGCCTTGCCTTCATGAGGGCGCGTCCAACCTTCTCCCCAAAGGACTTCTTGAAGGGCACTTCTTCCAGCTCCACCACAGAGACCGAGTGAGCCTTCTCCGAAAGGTAAGCAGCCACCTCCATCCCTGGAAAACACCGGGGGGGACAGGGCCGTTACGGGGCCGTGGTGCAAAAGATCCCTGGAAAACCGGAAAGCTGAGCCGGGGCTCGGGGCGGGGAGCCTGGGGGCTGGTGCAGCGCGAAGTGGAAGATCCCTCTGCTGGAGCAGGGCTACCCCGGCCGGGCCAGGGGCGGGCGTGAAAAGAGGAAAAGACAACAGGCGCAGAGGGGTACCTAATTCTCAAGGGATACTTAGCCTGGGTTCACACATTGCACTAAACCATGTTTTCCTTAATCATGGCTCATACAATCAACTGCAAGCAGCAGAACGGGCTCTGCACGCTAAGCCGTAAACCACGATGGTCGGTTCCCACGGCACGCTAAACTCAGGCTAAACAAACCGCGTTATAACACCGCTCAGCATCTGAGGCGGGCCACGCAGCCTTGGCTCACCAAGGAAAGAGGCGCCCACCACCACCGCATTTTTGCCGGCGGCCACTTTGACCACCCGGTTGGCGTCCTCCACAGTCCGGATGGTAAAAACGTTCTCCACTTCTTTGCCTTTGCAGCTGAGCGTTTTGGGTCTGGAAAGACAGATTGGGGGAAGGCAAGGTCAGGCAGAGGAACTCTCTGAAAGTCAAACATCTGCCGGGGAGAGAGCCTCCTTATTCCCGGGCCCACCTCAGACAAACCTGAACCAAAGATGGATCAGGAAAAGGCCAGGAGCCGGGCTACCCAATCTGAGTAAAAGCCAGCTTTTATCACATTGGCCAGGCGGAAAAGGGGCTCCGAGACGCCTCCTGATTTTCTGCCACCATGCGCTAACACGCTCTCCTCCTACAATGTCTAAAATAGATTGGGATTAACCGCGGTTCTTAACATTAATCTGTTGTGTGAACCCCCCAGTCGGTTAATTCAATAAGAAGATTAAGCGGAGTCTCTGAGCTTTGCCTGCAGACGTTTCACTGCCCAACTAGGGAACATCGTCAGTGCGAGGGAGGGTGGGGTGTGCAGACCGCCAAGCTCAGAGACACCGAGGAGTCCACAGAGGGTCTCTGAGCTACAGAGATCCCCTCCCGTTGGAAGCTGAAGTGGGCTGTGTGAACAGCCAGTAGGGCTTACTTTCCTGCAGGGCTGAGGAGCATTTGGGCAACTAGAAATCGTATTCTCTCCCAGGTTAATGTTCACGGTCCCTAATTCATCCTGAATTAGGCCTCGTGTGATTTGGGAGGGGGACTTTGGTTGAAGGGGAGATAGCTTCTCAGATCTTTTGAGGGATGGCCACACATGACTGGGCTAGGCTACTTCCACTGGGAAACTGAAGAACACCCTGGAAGGCGATGTCAACCCACTTCATACCCTTGCCAAGAGAACAACATCGACGTGCCCATCACAGTCAGCCAGAGGGGAATTTAACTTGAGGAATCCTTTATCTTGACCTCTTTTAACCCAATCCAAAGGTGTAAATGCACCTTAATTGTTTCCCCTCCAGAAATAAGTAAAAAAAATTCAAAAAAATTTGCTGCCCAATGTCGGGAATATAGTTCTAGGAGGCTCTGGAGGCCACAGACCAGGGGCCAGAGGCCGGGGCTCCCTGCAAGCCTTTAGAAAGGCGGTTAAGACCTGGCTCTCAAGGTCTGGGTGAGCTATAACCGGAAAATTTCAGTTCTGATTGCCATTTTATTGTCTGAGTGAGTTAATGAGATATGTTGTATTGGTTAATTGCCGGGGGGGGGTGGTCTTCGCTTTTCCCTTTTATACACTGCCCGGAATCGCATGGTCCGAACTGGGTAGCCTTATAAATGGTTTAAGAATAAATAAATAAATTATGCTGCCAATTAGTGAAGGAAGCCAACTTAAAATATAATCAGGTTGTTGATTAGATATCGAGCTCTAGTGCATATTCGTGCAAAATACTAACTACCACACTTCAAAAATCACTCAATTTCTGTTTTGCACCAGTTGCCAGCATGGGTGCCTGCAATGGGGGAGGGAGGCATTTGGGTGATGCCATCATGTGAATGCTGCAAATTATGTATTTGCATCAGGTGTCAGGATGCAAATCTGCAATGGCGTGATGACATCATCACACACGTCATCCTCTGCATGTCCCCCCGTTTGCTGCAGATACTGCCAAATGCCCGCTGCAAACGCAAAATTGCCGGATCTAAAAGCCAAACCATTACTGTGCCTCCTAAGAATATTTCACCACCGCCGTTTCAAGGCAAAGTAATTAAATACACGGGAAATGATCTGCTTAGGTATACATAGTGGCATTTAAAATTAAATTCCAATTAAATTAATCTGACTCTGAGTTAAATTTCATCAAATTTTGTTTTCACAGCATCCTAGAGCTGGAAGGGGACACAGATCCATATTAAAGCAATCCCGAGAGACAGGTGTTCAGCCTCCTCTGGAGCCCACCTCCGCTCTGGGTCAGCGGTTGAACTTCTCTTCCCTTCAGAGGATTTTCCTAACATTCAGTCAGAATCTGCCCTCCAGAAGCTTAAAAGCCTCTGCCTTATCTCATGTCTCTCTCCTGGCCCCGCCCACTTCTGTGCCTCGGCTCCACCCACTTGTTGGAATGAGCCCAGGTGTGGCCGTTGGCCCAAAAATGTAGTTCAGCCTTGGCACCCAGCGGTAACTGAAACATATTAAGCTGAACTGTGGATTATAGAAGCACCAAGTGGGTCTACCTATGGGGAAGTCACAAGACAGCCGTGCATTCTGGCCCGATTCCTGATGGCTCAAAGGAGGGACAGGACCCCGCTGGCCCGTAGCCACCCAGGCTCTTTCAGCAACTCCCTTCCAACCACAACAGCATTCAATGCCATTTCTGCCAAGCTCTCCACGCTCCACAGGGCACAGAGCAGCCAACCGCTCCATAGGAAGAACAAAGGACGCCAACCTCACATCTGGAAGACCCCTTTCACCTCCCCAGGCCCTTCGGTCTCCGATCCCCTTGGCGATGGAGATCCAGAAACACCGACTCTCTGCACCTCTCAACCGGCGACTGCAGGAGGAGCCCGCAGAGTTGAGATAGGAAGCGAAGGTCTCCTTTCTGTGACTTTGCCCCATTTTCCCTTCCTGCTTCGGTTCTTCCCCCAGGAGGAATCAAGTCCTTCCTTCTTCTTTCCCCATCCCTCCCCAGAGCAGAAAGTTCAGGGGTGCAGGCTTTCCGTCTGTCACTTCCTGCAGGGGCCTGATTTCTCCTGCTGGACCCTGAGCACCTCTCTCCAGAGACAGTACTCTTCGTGGGCTTGCTCTGACTTGCATGTTGGGTTCTGCTAAATGCAGACCCTGGAAGAGGAGCTGGAGGAGTCCAGCCAGGGTTATCTTGACCTTCTCCACTAGATCCTCAAAGTGCCGTTCATGGACCACTTTTATCAAGAACAACTCCCATGGTATTCATTTTATGAATTCTAGAAGAGAGAGATCATCCTCATGTATGAAGTGAAACCATGTCTCCTGCCTCATCGAAGCGTGGAGTCTCTTCCGGTCCTTCTCTAGAGCAGCAACAGGCCGCGTGAGAGGAAACACGGCCCCGAGGCAGCCTCCCTCCCATCCATCCATCCATCCATCCATCCATCCATCCAAAGGTTGGTATCACCACTGGGGAGGATGAGGCTGGATTTTTTTCAGTACTTCTTCTGGGCGAGTGGGGCTAAGGACCAACTCCTGGCTGTCTTTCAGGGGAAATGGGATTGAAAGATGGAGGTGGCAGCTGTTTGCCTTTCAGAAAGTTTTTGCATCCTCCCCAAACAGGCCAACATTGGCTTGAAAAACTACCATTTTGATGGGGGAAGAATAATCTCATTTCCATCTGTAATTGGGGAGGAGGGGAGGTAAAAGACAGTGTCACTAAAATTCAGCCTTTTTATCACAAAATTTCAGCAGAACAATCTTGGTTGGTGGGGGATGGTGGGTTGACCCCCCTGCTCTAAAGCAACGATGCCTCTCCCCTCTCCTCTCACACCTCTCCTCTCACAGGACTCACTTTGGTGCATCTGAGGAAGAAGATTATGTGTCATGAAATCTTACGCTTCAGTCAACTGATTCATCTTTAAGACACCACAGCATTTTTTGTCATTCGGGGTGCAAAAAGTGACCCCCGCCTGACAAACAAGACATCCACACTAGGTGCAAAACCTTCTGCTGCCACTTACGTGTTTCCTGTTGCAAGAAGCAGCTTGTTGTACTCCATCTTAAACCCATCCTTGAAAATGGCCGTCTTGTTCTTGACATCTACTGCCACCACCTGAAACAGTATTGATGGGTCATTAACAGTAATTTCTTAGCTGTTCTTCTTCTTTACTATCAGAGCAATCCACAAACAAACACACACACATTAAATCCACACTGTGGACAGTGTTCAGGGAGCCAACTCCACCCATCCTGCACCATTTTAGTCCCCCCCATGGAGATGAAACCAGCTACGTGATGGAATGCTTCCACAGGTTCTGGTTTGGTAGAGCACCTCTCAAAGGCTGGGTTAAACCAAACCCTCTCTGGTTAATGGCTGGCTAATGAAGTCCCTTTTCGAGTCCGCATGGCACACTGACTCTGCCTTCCCACGTCATGCAGCAGGGCCAAGGCATTCTTTGAAATTCCCTCCTCCCACAGAGACAGACCCTCACCTGCATTTCGGTCAGGACCTCAATGTCGTTCGTGCGGAAGAATTCTTTAGGACGCAGAGCGATCTGGTCAGCGTGGGAATCCATTGACTAGAAAGCAGAAGCCAGTTTTGTTCTTGGAGTTTATACTCCTTGCAAGCCTTCCAGGTGTGTGTTAGGCTGGCCAGGAGTTCTGGGAGTTGTAGTCCCACATCCGCCTAGAGGGTTTCACTAAGGAAGTGTAATGATGTGTGGGAATGACCTTGGGAGACAGGAGGAACAGCCACAGACTAGTCAACGGTCAGATAAGAGGCTGCTGAGCCCGCAGAAGGAATGTGAGTGTGGCAAATGTCTCAGAAGGGTATCTTGGATGTAACAGTGTAGGGGGGAGAGATGT